AAAATAAACCAGAGAGTGAGTTCACGGGAACAAGATAACAGTAATACAGAAGTGGAATACAAAGTTGTGGTGGAATTTCAGCAAGAAAGGGGTTATATTCATCCGATAAAGATAACCAAAGCAATAGAGGAAGAGATAGGGAAAATCAAAACGGCCAGAATCATGAACAACAGAAAAGTGATAATTCAAGCTATCAGTGAGGCACAACAACAGAAGATAATCAAAATGAAAACTCTGATGGGAGAACGAGTTAAATCACATATACCAGGTTTTATGGCAAGGTTGAGAGGAGTAATCTCAGGAGTTCCACTTGAAATGACAATGGAGGAGGTGAAGAATGAAATCAAAGGAGGGAAAATAACAAATGCCACCAGGATTAAAAGTAGAAGAGAAGGGGAACTCAAAGACACTATGGCTGTGATATTGCAGTTTGAAAATAACATGCCAGAAAATATACAGCTAGGATTTATGAACTATAAAGTTAGAGAGTACATCCCGAAACCGCTCAGATGTTTTACCTGCCAAAGAATGGGACACATTGCAAAAGATTGTAAGGGAAAAATTAGATGTGCAAGATGTGGAGGACCACATGAATTTGGAAAGTGTGACAAAGACGCCAAAATCAAATGCTGTAACTGTGGTGGTGAGCATAGTGCAGCCTATGGTGGATGTATAGTTCAAAGGGAAGCTAGAGAAGCCCAGAAAATAAAGATAACAGAAAGAGTTTCTTACGCAGAAGCATTAAAAAGAATAAAGAAAGATAGTAAAAGAGGAATGAGGCTGGGAGAAGCAGATCAAAGTTACACTTCTCAGAACACAAATCAAGGAATGAATGGTCAGAGACAAATACTAATGCCAACAACAAATACAAATAATACATGTTTACATAAATGTAAAATAGAGGAAAATACAATGATGGTGAAAAAAGAAAACTTTGTAGCATTTATATGTCATGTTATTAATGTTACAGTCCAAATGAAGAAGAAAAGTGATAAAATAAAAGAAATAGTAACAGCAGCAGGGAGATTCCTAGATATGAAAGAAATTCAAGCAGATCAAATACATACCATTTTGAGTGCCACTGAAATAACAGAAAATGGTCAGGATTAGGATACAAGCTTTATTGATGGTCATTCATATTCTACAATGGAATGCCAGAAGTATAATAGCTAATGGACAAGAATTTAAAAAGTATATTTATGAATTAGAAGTAATACCAGATGTAATATGTATACAAGAAACATGGTTAAACTCAAACTTGGATTTTAAAATTCCTGGATATAATATAGAAAGACAGGATAGAAGTAATGGTAGTGGCGGAGGATGTGCCACTTTAATTAAGGAAGGAATTGCTTACAAGAAAAACTCATTAAATAAAAAAATAGAATGTGTAAATATAGAAATATTTAATTTAAGGAAACAAGGAAATATTAAAATCATTAATTATTATAATCCGTGTAAAAATCTAGATAATGAAATATTTAAGGAAATAGGGAAAATACATAGAAGAGAAGTTTGGTGTGGAGATTTTAATGCTCACAACAGTCTATGGGGTAGCAAGAAAACGGATCATAATGGTGAAATAGTGGAAGAATTAATGGATGAAAGGTCATTAGTTTGTCTTAATAATGGAAAAGGTACAAGAATAAATATAAATAAAAATTCAATCTCATGTCTAGATATTACATTAGTATCTGACTGTCTTGTTAGTGCATGTGAATGGGATGTAAATGGGGAATCTACACTAGGGAGTGATCACTTTCCAGTGAGTACAATAATTAATGATAATATAAATAGACAAGAAGAGTTTACATTAATAAGATGGTGCTTTAATAAAGCTGATTGGTTTAAATTTAAAACAAAATGTGAAGAAACAAGACATATAGTAACATTAAAAGGTAATATTGAAGAGTGTACAAATCAAATAGTAGAAAATATTCTAAATGCTGCAAATTACAGCATACCAAAAATAAAAGTGAAAGGTCAGAAGAAAGTAGTTCCTTGGTGGAATAATGAATGCAGTAAAACTATTAAAGATCGTAATAAAGCTTTTAAAATACTACAGAAAAATCTAACAATCGAAAACCTTATTGATTATAAAAGGAAAAGAGCAAAAGCTCGGAAAACTATAAAGGATGCAAAAAAGAAAACGTGGAGAGACTATTGTTCATCAATAGGTTCAGAAGTTAATTTACAGAATGTGTGGTCAATGTTTAGAAAAATGACGGGGAAAAAGAACAATGTCAATATTCCATCCTTAGTCAGAGGACAGGAGGTATTGGTTTTAAATAAAGATAAGGCAGAGTTATTAGGAGAGACGTTTGCGGCAGTTCATAGTGGTGATCACTTGACAAATACCCACAGAAGGCAGATGATTCAAAAACTTGGAAATCATAAAAACTCACTAGAAAAATGTCAAAAATATATGTCAACATTGGATATGAATATAACCATGAAAGAAATAAAAACAGTATTGAAAGGGACAGGGTATTCAGCTCCAGGGGAAGACCAGTTATGTTACGCTATGTTTCGACAGATTCCGGAAGTAACACTGAAATTAATATTAGAATTATTTAATAAAATATGGAAAGAAGGAACAATACCAAATAGTTGGAAAAGGGCAATAATTTTACCATTTAATAAGCCAGGTAAAGATCCTTCCTATCCAAATAATTACAGACCAATTGCTCTTACTTCCCATTTAAGTAAATGGATGGAGAAAATAATGGTTAATAGATTAGGATACTATCTTGAGAAGAATAATCTAATAAATGGATATCAATGTGGATTCAGAACTGGAAGATCAACAATAGATGCTCTAACTAGAGTCAGTAATGACATAGAGAAAGCTTTAAAAATGAAGGAAATAATGATTATAGTATTTTTTGACATAGAAAAAGCATATGACTCACTATGGAAAGAAGGATTACTTATAAAAATGAAACAGATGGGAATAGGTGGGAGAATGTATAATTGGATAGCAAATTTTCTACTAAATAGAAAAATAAGAGTAAAAATTGGGAATGACTATTCAAATGAATATAATGTTGAAAATGGAATACCACAAGGTAGTGTAATTAGTCCAATTTTATTTAATATTATGATCAATGATATTTTCTATGAAACTGATAAATGTATAAAATCTGCACTATATGCAGATGATGGGGCCATATGGATGAAAGGGAAAAATATTAAACATGTAGAAAATATTAAAAAAGCAATTAGTAAAGTTGAAAAATGGTCTTATGAATGGGGTTTCAAATTATCAGCAACCAAATCTTGCTATATGGTTGTCACAAAGAAGAGAAATATTAATATAGAAACAATAACATTATATGGACAGACTTTAGAAAGAGTAACAGAATATAAATATCTAGGTTTATGGTTGGACAGTTCTTACTCATGGAAAACACATATAGATAACTTAGAAACCAAATGTAAAAAAGTTATTAATATATTAAAGGCTGTGGCTGGAAACAATTGGGGGGCAGATAGACAGTCATTATTAAGCATATACAGGGCTCTAATGAGAGCAATAATAGATTATGGCAGCATTATATATGGAGCAGCAGCTAAAACATCATTACAAAAAATAGAAAGATTACAGTGTAGGGCTTTACGAATATGTACAGGAGCAATAAAAACAACACCTATTAATGCTCTATTAATTGAAAGTGGGGAAACTCCACTTGAAATGAGGAGAATTAAATTAGCTTTAGCATATTGGATGAAAATTAAAAGTAATATAGATAATCATGTGAATTCAACTATTCTGCAAAATTGTTGGGAATATGTGAAGTTCCAAAGTAATGGATTTGGATGGATGGTTAGGAAATGGATTAAAAAGTATAGACTAGAAGACAAGGAAATAGCTCAATTTAACCCAATTAGCGTTATTCCTCCATGGCTAATACCTGAGGTTAATGTAGATTTGCAAATCAATACAATGAAAAATGATTGGAATATAAATGAAATAGGGATAAAAACTGATATTTATTTAAGAACTACATATAATAATTACCTTAAAATTTATACAGATGGTTCTAAAAATCTAAAAGGTTATGTGGGTATAGGAATATATATCCCAGAGTTTAAAAAATGTATTCACAAAAGAATATCAGATCAATTGTCGGTATTTACAGCAGAAATGGTGGCAGTTATATTAGGCTTGCAATGGGTGGAGGAGATTCGACCAATCAGGGTGGTGGTGTGCACAGACTCTAAAGCAGTAGTGGAAAGTATTAAGGGAGAAGGAAATAATAGAAAAGATTTGGTATTAGAAATTCATCATATTTTATTTAGACTATATAGGGGTGACATTGATGTTTGGTTTTGTTGGGTGCCGGCACATGAAGGAGTAAAAGGCAATGAAAAGGCAGATAAATGAGCTAAAAGGGCTTTAGAGGGGGAAATAACGATTTCAATTCCTTTTGGAAAAGGGGAAGGGAAATCACTTATTAAAAGTAAAGAAATGGAGGAATGGCAAAAAATATGGAACGAAGATAGGAAAGGAAGAAGATTATATGAAGTGCAAAAGTCAGTTCGAATTCGAAACATTAATGAAAGAAACAGAAGAGAAGAAACAATAGTTAGTAGATTAAGAATAGGTCATACCTACTTAAATGACATGCTTTACTTAATAGGGAGGAAAAATTGTGAGAAATGTGGTGAAAAAGAAAATGTAGAACACATACTGATGAACTGTAAGTTATATGAACACGAAAGGGAAAAATTAAAGAGAATAGTTAGAAGTATAGGGCATGAATGGAATCTTAAAGGAATATTAGGAAATGAAGGAAACATAACAGATATTCATAAACTAAGGAAAGCATTGTTTTTGTATCTTAAGAATACAAAATTAAAAAATAGAATCTAATAGATGTGAAGTAACGCTGCTACACACTCATGTACAGTAGGTGGCGGTATGCACCTTAAAGTTGCTTGTGATCCGCCATAATAGAAGAGAAGAAGAAGAAGAAGAAGAAAAACATTGGGAGGTAGTCAGCCAATGACGTTTCACCCAGAAGGAAGTAATCACACACGGAAATGACGTCTATTCAGAGCAAATGTGTCAACGGCAGAGGTGAGTGTGGTCTTATGAAATGAATTAATTTCAGCCTAAATTTTATTTAACTTGTTTTTGTTTGGACTTTTTTCTACTAAGAACACCAGTGTCTGTGTTTTGCGTGTTTCTAGTCAGAGGGACTGTCCTTCTGGGCAGTTTTTGCTTAACGGTGTTTGGAGCCAACATGGCGAACTGCGTTAGAATAATTTATATTTAACTGTAATTTATCTGAACAAAGTGATGCGTAAAGTACTGGACTTAAAATAAACACCATACCATTCAGAAAGGTTCGCTTTTTAATCCGGCATACATTAGACCTGCGAAGTCATTTTAATTGTCTTTTTAAAATTTAAAGTTGACTGGCTGCTACTGTGGTCCAGCCTAGATCTGAGTAGTCCTGCTTTACTCATGTTTTCACCGTTTGTAAGGACGTAAGAAGGACACGACAGACCAAACCTCTCACTTTTTATAAATGGTGTTATGTGTCTTTTTTTCAAGATTGCTATTAAAAAAGAAGAAAACAATCTAGGTTTAGTGGATACTTTTTTTTTTTTTTTTACCTAGGATATTTAGCCACAGTTTTACTTAGCAAAGCGTAGTTATGGCAACAACAAAGTACAACTTATTTGTCCTAACAGCATATATTAAAAAGGATCATAACCCTACCAGTTGCTTATATTATTTAAATGTAAACCAAGCTGTTAACAATTAACCATCATATCAATATTAATAAACTGATGATAATAAATGGAAATCATGTTTGCAAAGAAATGCAGTACATCCACGCAGCTTTTATTTTGAGACATAGCAGCCAGCTGCTGTTCCTTATGCAACAGGTGGGGCTCCCTATAAAAATCCCTATAAAAAGTTGAAATGAGTTAACACATCAAGTCAGAAAGTGAACATTAAGGGCATTTAAGAAACCCTGCCTTTCCTTCTATAGTTTGGAAATGTTAAAAGGAGCACTACAGAAACCAATTGCTCTTGCTGATGTAATCCATTAAAATAGTTTGACGGCATCAGTATTTTTAATTTAAAATTTTCTTTTGACTTTATAATTCTTAATTTAATCAATTTGTATTATGCCGACGAAATCCAACTCTGTAATTGAAAAAAGACTGTACTTTATTTACTTTCCTTGGGTTTAGAATAGAATAGAAAATCCCTTTATTGCCCCACAATGGGGGAATTGTAAACTGAAATGGGTTTACTTAGAACTCCAATATTGTTTAAAGGAGAATTCCGGTTTTTAACACTTTTAGCCCATTTTCTGTAGTGTCCAGGATGAAATCGAATGATCGACACCAAAATTTTGACAATTGGTCCTGTCTCTGCTTTTTGGCTCATGCATAATCCCCCCCTGGCTGCTTTAGAATGGCTTCCATTGTGCATGTCCGATAATGTCCTTAAAACAACCTTAAACGTACTTTTTTAAAAATATGCTACTCACCGTGTCGTCAGCGCTGTTCAATGACGTTCCAAAAAAAGTTTCGTAAAGAAAAAACGTTCCTGTAGTGTTTTATTTAGCATTTTGTAAATCCCATTGAGTTCTGTTGGAATAGTCAATATTCCGCTGCCACCGGAAACGGAAATGGGGCCTGTTTACACAGTTGTAGTCTTTTCGCTTCACTCTGTGTACTCCGACGTCGAGGTGCTAACGTCTCTGTTAAACACTTTAAAAAACTCTGAAAATGGAATACGAAAGGTGGATTCTTGATTCTCGACGTCGGAGTACACCGAGTGAAGCGAAAAGACTACAACTGTGTAAACAGGCCCCATTTCCGTTTCCGGTGGCAGGGGAATATTGACTATTCCAACAGAACTCAATGGGATTTACAAAATGCTAAATAAAACACTACAGGAACGTTTTTTCTTTACGAAACTTTTTTTGGAACGTCATTGAACAGCGCTGACGACACGGTGAGTAGCATATTTTAAAAAAAAGAACGTTTAAGGTTGTTTTAAGGACATTATCGGACATGCACAATGAAAGCCATTCTAAAGCAGCCAGGGGTTGATTCTAAATGAGCCAAAAAGCAGAGACAGGACCAATTGTCAAAATTTTGGTGTCGATCATTCGATTTCATCCTGGACACTACAGAAAATGGGCTAAAAGTGTTAAAAACCGGAATTCTCCTTTAATAATACAATTCTACTTTGAACCACAAGAGGGGGCTATTAGAAAGGACATGACTGGCAGTAAAAGTTAAAATGGATATTTTCTTAAATGTCTTAAAATATTCTTAACAGAAAAACCATCTCCATGGTTCATTATTTGCTATAAAATTATGTTCGTTTTTTTTCCTCTTTCAGATTACCTCTAATCCAAAGCAGTGTGCAGTGATGTGGCCTGTAGTTTGGACTGCGATGCGCACCTATGCGCCTTACGTCACCTTTCCTGTAGCTTTTGTGGTCGGCGCTGTGGGCTACCACCTGGAGTGGTTCATTAGAGGGACCCCTAAACCTCGGGAGGAAGAAAAAAGCATCTTGGAACTAAGGGAGGAAAGAAAGCTGCAGGAACAGTTGGGAAAAGACAGCACTCAGGTGCTTAGCCTGAAAGAGAAACTGGAGTTCACACCTAAAGCAGCTCTCAACAGGAACAGAGCTGAGAAGAGCTAACTCGTGTCATTGTGACAGACTTGTGTTTTGCAGTTTTTCACCAGGAGCAAAGTGCTCTAAGGGTAGAACCCATTGTTCTACTCACCTGAATGTCACTTTTTCACTTATCATTTCCAAAAATTAAACCAAACATACCCTTTCAACTGCTTTAGATCAGGTAAACATCTCTTGTATAAGTGAATACGCATGATTTGAAAATGCAGATAGATCAAAATTTTAGCAAAGCCACTGTAATAACCACCTATTTATTAGACCTTAGGGTCTTTCAGTATTGATCTAATTCTGCATGTACAAATACATTTATTGATTTATTCACATCATACTACATCAATATGACCCAGGTTTTGTTTTGACTTTGTTTTTAAGTCACTCAAGTTGCTTTTAATTGCAATTTTTTTCTGGATAACTTTTTCTAAATGTGAATAATTAAGGAGTACGGTAATTATGTTGCAGGAAGTGAAAAAGTTCTCTGTTGATCATTTGGTCCCATAAGGCCTTTAAAGGTATGTGTCAAAATAAGCCAGCAATACAGCCGTTTTCTCAAGATCTCTAATCTTTTTAGGAGTAGGGTCTTCGTAACCTGAACATAATGCTTTCATTTTAGAAAGTGTGGATGGTTAGTCTACTCCAAATGTGTTAATTGTGTGTCAAATAAATGATGTTAAATAAAGGATGTGCTTATAAGTGGAGCTGCTTTGCCTTTTTGAAAAATCATCATTGGTTATAAGACTCGGCACTATAAAAAACAAAGAAAGGAAACTGAACAATTCTCATTTAGCTTGGAAAGGAAACTTATTCCTGGAGGGAATTCACATAGTCATTCATCTTTGCAATGTTGAAGGATTTCAAACATGATTCAAGAGAAGAATCTTGATTCAAACCAACACAGGCTGTAGATAAAGTTTCAGAACGACCTTAGCTTCACCTTTACAACCAGATAATTATAATTACTTTTTTAGTGACTGTTTACAAAGTAGGGTTTGCATTAGTTCTTCACATTTTATACTCCTGAAAAAAAATCCAAAGAAACTATTCACCCCATGAAGACACCTGCTTTATAACCCTAACACCCGTGTGTAGGTTATTCTCAGTATGAAAAGTGTTTTACTGTAACCAAACACTGTAATAGATCAAAGAAGATAGCAGAGAAATAAAGTTATGGAAAAGTTAAAAGGGAAATTGGATTGTAAGAAAGTATGGTTCAATAGCAGCACGTTCCAAGACTTAGACATCCACCTAAACTGCAAGTTTAACAAGGAAGGTGCTCATTATAGACACAGTCCAGAGGCCCTTGGTAATTCTGGAAAAAACTGCAGAATTCCTAAAGCTCTGATGGCAGAATCTGCTGACAGTGCATCTTTTAGCAGAACACATCATATGTCTTTTATGAAAGGTTAGTAAAAATACAATAGTTAAAGGAAAGCAGTTTAAAATCCCATTCACAGTTTGTAATTAGCCTTTAGGGGATTTGGCTAACTTAAGAAAGAAGGTGCTCTGATAAAATTCAGGGTGGAGTTGAACTTTCTGTCCTCTAACAAAATGTGATGAGCAGGGAGTATTCTGTATCCCCACAGTGGAAACAAAGTGGAATCACATGCTGTGAGGACTTTTCAGCAGTGGCACATATGCAGATAAGAGGAGTGGAGCTAACTATATGATAATCCTGTAAAAAGTACGAAAATATTCACACGGAGTGAAAAAAGCGTTCTCTGCGTCTCCTTGCTTCATTTCGATGTCTCCTTCTTGCGACAATTAACCGCTGCCATGTGTGCGCAATTACGCATACAGACCATTTGCACCTTCTTTTGAAACATAGAGTCAGATACTGTTAGCAAAATTGCTTTCAGGTTTGATAAATCACTTTGCGAGTGCTAAATTAATATATTTACATGTTCTCCACCCACAAGACGCAGTTTTGCGTGTAAACGCCCCATACTGCATATTCATTGCAGAAAAAGTACTAAATGGATAAGAGGCGCCATTTAGCACGTTTTAAAGACCAAATCCTTTTAACACGCTGTTGATAGATCAGTTTGTACATTTTTTAGCGTGCGCAGTGAAATAGCTCACGTTTTTATACACGCAAACCTTTGATAGATCCGGCCCAGAGTGTACACAAAATAAAATTTATTTTGTACAGTCAATCTTCATGATATTTCCATTCCTTAAAGTGTATCAGTAGTCAAATATAAACTGTGGGAGAAAAAAAAAACATGTTGCAAAAAAAATGCATTGATATGGAAGTTCAGAGCATTAATATATATGATGCAAATATGCAATAGTTTTGGTTTGGTGTTTGTCAGCGTGATGCAGAGTCTGTGACATGATTTAGTTTTCTCAACAGTTTAGCTGTCTGATGGCGGTGGGGAAGAAGCTGTTTCGTAATCTGCTGGCCCTGCATTGAATGCCCCAAAGCTTCTTCCTAGAGGGGAGCAGAGAGAATTGACAGGTTTGCATGAAAGCATATTAATGTTTAAGAATGACATAATCAAAGTTCAGACCTAAACTACTACAAAAAAGATCCCCTCCATCAAATCAGTTTGAGTGGGCTATCTCACTAACAAAAACATGTCAGTGGCTGTGCGAGGATGTGTAGAAATAGTCTAAGAGAGCTGTTAATCTGCCTGCATCTAAAGATGGAGGTTCAAAGGATTAACATCATACTTTTTAGATTTGTATCTATAATAATAATAAAACAAAAAAATATTGCTTTTCCTTGTTCTAGATAAATATTCACAATTTTTCATTAAAGTCAGGCTTATATTATGCTAGTCCACTAATGTGTGCTTACTGAGGGTTTACTTTTTTTTTTTTAAAGAAAGATCACCATTTTATCTAATAATGGCAGCAGTTTCCTTGGACTTCTGTAGCTGAATAAGTATTAAGATGTTGCTGAGACAAAGCATTTAGTTGGCAAATATAAAAACAAAGCAAACTTGCTGTGGATTGTTTCTTGTTTATTATTTCTGCTATAGAGCAGCCTTTTAAATGATTCAGGTTTAAATCCTGACATTCAACATCACAACAAAAAAAAGTCAAAAAAAAAAAAAGCATCTTTTGTTTAGTTTTCCCCCTTTATTCTTTCTTTCTTTCTGATGACTTCAAAAACTGGTTAGAATTAAAGTTAATATGCGATCTGACATTTTATATGCTGGTAAGAATCCACATTTTCAGTCAGGACCATTTTTATGATCTTCATCGTTAAAGCTAAACGAGGTCAGGAAATAAAAACTAATTGGAATTAGTCACAGGCTGAAGCAGGCAAATGAGACAAATGAGCAACAAAACTGATTCCACTGTTTGAGGTGTAAAGTTGGTCCCAGACTGGTTCTGTGGTAATAAAATAAAAGCGGTCTGCTGCCTTTGCGGTGTGCCAGGATATGTTCTGCTACATTACCCTGCCAGCTTGTGAAATAGGAGAGATTATGAAGCCCAGACTTACACTGGCACCACAGTAGTAAATACTGCACTATCTGCAGACATCTAAAGCTCTTTCACCTCTGCTCCAACGTTTGCTGTCAGTGAAATGACCCACTCCACTCCAATGATTTTGGGCGAGACACTTTTGAAGAAAGCAATTACTTAAGGCTGGAGGAAGTTTGCATTGAAAAAGGCACAGAGTGAAGATGTAAAAGGTAGCACTCAGAGTTACAGTGAGTGTGTTGTGTGAAAAGTGTGTGTCCTCCTGGGAACAACCGGAGGACAGGTCATTCACGTAACAATGGCCCCCAGCTCCTCAGAACGGGACAGTACTGTGGGAACGGAGCACCGAGGCTCCTGGGAAATGAGGGGGGTGTTAGCTATTGTTCCTGATGTAGGATGGGGATAATGGGTGTGGGTGATGCTGGCTGTTCTTTTTTTATTTCATGCTGCTCGAGAAGGTCCAATCCAACATCCTGAATGGACAGGCTGGAGACGGTGTTCTGAACAATAGAGCTGTCTGCCTGCTGGATGGGCACCACATCCCTTTATCAGATACCTACACACACATTCACAGCCCTATTTCTATGGCCGTCCCATGTAGACCTTAACTCATCTTAACCTATATCAGTCAAAATGTCTTTTCTAAAAACTGTCTCTTTCAAAGATAAATCTATTTGCCCACAAAGAAAGACAACGTTGAATACAGCAAAAATGAAGCCACACCATTAACCTGGAATGTGTCATAAATTTCTACATATTTGAAACCCTGTTTCAAGGTCATCTATATAATACTACATTAACTGTTTTTCTATAAAAGTCCAATTTGTTGTGCAAATTCTCTTACCAAAGACTAGGGTGTGTAAATGCACTTAAAGTATACTAGTTGTATACTTAAATAAGTGAGGATACCTTCAGTATATCTAATAGTTTTAAATAGTTTTATATATATATAGATATATATGTATATCTATATATATATAGATATGTATATCTATATATAGATAGTTTTATATATATATATATATATATATATATATATATATATATATATATATATATATATATATATATATATAAAAACAGGGAATTCTAGAAGTTTACTAAAATTTCATTTATATTGTAAAATGAAAAATTTTGCTTACTAAATAATTTAATGTGAACAGGGCTCCAATCTCCTCAACTTATTCATAGTCATTTTAAGAGCTGTGTACATTGGAACAGGTTATATCATACATGTTTTATCATACCTCATCCAAAATATTTAGGTTACCCTGAGCTATTTTCTATATTTATGCTGCTATAGGGTTAGGCTGCAGGAGGACATAGGGACTACTTTTCCTCATTCTGCTTCACTCTATCTGTATAGATAGAATTGAGATGACATCACACATCCGAGTGTAACCTAGCGGCGATCACCAGCATCCTAGGAGGGGCAAACATAGCAACACAGATAGTAATCTCAGAATATTTACACGTGGTTTTAGTCATAAAGATTTATGAATACCAAGAAAACCTTCTACCAAAAGATGAGGGCAGATATGAGAAAAAAATGACCTCTAAACCACCAATGCCAGGCTACGGCTGGCACAGGCTAGCTATAGAGGGTAACTGGGGAGAAAAAAAACTGAGCACTGCAGCCGGTGGAGAGGCTACGAGTGACCATGGATTCAAAAAAGTTCAGACTTCTCCCGACTTCACCGCCAATACGCTCTGCCATTACAGTAGACACACAAAGTATGGATACCAAACTTCTCACTGCTGTTCTGGGTGCTAATAACATTTTGGAGAAGCTTCAGCAGCAGTACTGTGATCGCAAATATCAGATTTATAGTCCGCACACTGCAGATATGTTGGAATCTGTG